GCGCGTTCGGCGCGTTCGGTGCTTGAGGGCGGCGAATGTAAGCATTGTGAGTCATTTCCAATGCGTAAGCGTTTGTCCCTGGGGATCGCAGGTTGAGCTCGCGGAGAAGTTTGAGAAGGGCATGGATCTTTCAAAGACTCCTACCGCGGGCTCTAGCGTGCTGCGGGATCCAGACGCTCTGTCATTGGAGTCATCTGATCCTGGTGTGCTGCTGGGCTCTTCTAGTCATAGTGACGGTAATGAAGAGGTTGATGTGGTTGGTGACGATGATGAGAGTGTGAGCACCGAGTCGTCATCAGCCATTCCCAGCCGTGCATACGGGGATATGCTGGATGTGATGGGTCGTGCCTCTAAGCGGCTCAGAAGCCGAAGCCGGCTCGCGGCCGACTAGATGAGCGTTTTTTGGCGGGTCTTGATCGTCCAGCCCCCGGGAGTCTTCCGTTTATCCCAGATCTCCACTCGGAGATATCTAAATCCTGGGGGAAACCGTATTCCTTTCGGCTGCATGTCTTTCAGCACGCAGATTATGTGAATGTTGAGGGTGTGGCCGAGCGCGGATACGCGAGGATGCCCCCTGTTGAGCAGACGTTTGCGAACTTTCTCTCTCAGGGCGAGTCACCCTCTTTGAAGGCTCCCGTCTTGCCATCAGTAGCGCTTCAGACCACCTCGCGCTTGAATGGCAGGGATTATGTGGCAGCAGGTCAGGCTGGCAGTGTTACAGGCCTATCAGGCTGATCTGTTGGAGGATTTGGATGAGGGCAAAGGCTTATCGCCGGAGGCAGTCAAAGAGCTGTGCCACACCACGGACTTGGCTCTTGGCTCACCACTAAGCAAACTGCTGCTGCCATTGGGCGTTAAATGGCGGCGATGGTGGCTATGGAGAGACATTTGTGGGTTAACCTCACGGCCATCGGGAAGAAAGAGAAAGACTTTCTTCTTGATGCTCCGCTTTCGCCGACCAGACTTTTTGGCACTTCCATCGAGGCGGTTGTGGAAAGGTTCAGAGAGGCGAAGGCACAATCGGCTGCCTTCAGGAAATTCATTTCCCGGCGCTCCAAATCCTTTTTGAAGGGGGATGATCGGTCTAAGGCTGAGGCTCATAGACAAGATCAGAAATCTAGCGTCGCTAACCGCGCCCCTCCTCCCTCTAGGAGTTGGCGAGGAAAGCCTACCGCTGACAGGGGAAGAAGTGATCTCAGGAACGTGCTGAATAAGAGGCGCAGTCATCCTCTGTGTCAAGACGCCGGCGCGTCCTGATCATCTTTCTCCCTCGACCTCCTCCCCCCGCCTTGTGTTATTGACCACTGCTTGCATCAGGCTCTGACTTCGGACTAATGATGTTTATATATATTCGCTGTAAAGTGAATTTTTTACTGATGGTCTGAAATCTCCCTCTTGTGAGTTTCTGGTCAATAACACAGTGGCGGCTAGCCTAAAGTGGACTAGACCTGGTTTAGGGGATCTTTGTATCATGGCCATCTGAGGATGGTCATATTCCAGCCCTGTTGTGGCAGGGTAGGTTTACTGTAGATGCAGCCATCTGAGGCTGGCTGTATTTTTATCTGCAATTAACCCTTTCCGCATTGTAGCTATCTGTGGATGGCTGTTTGGTAGAGGCGCTGTTGCCACCTTTTGGTTTTATCTATACAGCCACGGCTGGTGGTATTGCAGTGGTCCCCTTGCCTGAAGAGATAGCTTTTAGAGGATAAGCTGTCTGCAAGCTCGGCCCTACTCTAGTTGAGTGGTGGTTTCTTTAAGAGCCTGTGCCCGGACAGTGCTGTCTCCCCTCTTGGGGTTAAGTAGACAAGCCCATTTCTATGGTCTGGTAGTTCGGTCAGTCCTGCTTCTGGTAGCTCCTTCCTGTGTGACATAGCTATCTGAGGATTTCTATGTGTTAGCTCAGTTACCGCTCCCTCTTCGAGGGTCTTTAATAGTGGTCTCCTGAGCCATTGCCTATACAATGCTATCTCCCCTGTTAAGGGAGCAAGTAGATAGTCCACTCTTTGTGGTTTGGGCAGCTTATTCAACTACAGCTACCTGAAGCTAGCTGTGTTTTAATGCAGTTGCACTGAGCCCTCTCCTGGGGTGGTT